AACAGGTTGCCACGGATATTTTTATTGACAAAATGGGTTCGGGTGTGGACACTAAGGTCTGGAAAACTGCGTTCGACAAGATGAATCCGACTGTTGGAAAGTACATGAAGGAATTGGAGAAGGCCGGTATATAATTCCCATTATTGAACATTGATTGAAATGAATCATGATCTTGAAAATGGCGTGAAAATAAACGTTGTGAAAATATTCGGATGTTCTGAAATTTAATTTCAGAAAGAAATCAAAATTGTTTTACGCTCAAGATGAAATTAAATTCTTATCTGAAATGGGCAAACTTCATTTTTGAATCGTTGGAAATTGATAAATATTCAAATCTATTGCCAATTCATTAAATCAAAATAGAAGAAATATGCTGTAAATTAATTTTTCTCTAAACGTTTCTGTATGGAAATTTTTATTATTTTGAGAAACTTTGAGTTATATTGACATCGAAGTCGAGTCAAGGAGACAATCTACATTTTTTTTCTTTTAATGTGAAGATTATCTGAAAATGTGAGATCTGAGGTTAAAAAAAAGTAAAAAAAACTCCCTTGACGTTTTTTTTCTTAATTCTGGGATTGAAAATTTTTCTTCCTTCAGCAAGGAGGATAATATTTTACAGCAATCAATTTGATTTCAAATAATCTAAAGCTAATTCTTCAAGCTAATTTTCTTTTGAAGATTAATTCGATTTTTCTTTGAACAGTAAAATTTCATTACATAAAGACATCTTTTGAGTAAAAGTTCATCCAGGGCACTGAACAATAAAAAATATAATTTTCAAGGTCAGCATATTTTCATATAATTCATCCGGCAGTTGGAGGCAGTTGGAGGTCCGGAAGATCACAAATATTATGGCATTTTTTCAAACTTTTCAATGCAAAAATTCTGTTACTCAAATGACTCAGAAAGTGGGAGAACTATTTTTATTTGCTGCACCTGGTTTTTGTAATTTGTATCAGGTCACCAATGTGTGCCTATTTTATCAGCAAAGCAACTTGGCAGAAAATGGATTTTGCGGGAATTGAGAGATCTCAAAAACTATGCATGTATCAATATTTTTGTCAATACCAAATTTGTATTCAACGTCAAAATCTACAATTTGATGTCTTGAAAATTGAGAAAGATATTTGCTTTGGAAGTTTGACTCGCAAATTACGCAATTGTACAAATGTATCCTTGAAAATGTTCCTGGTATCCAGGAGTTGTTTTATTGTTGAAATTGCCTGTATGTTTTCATGCCTGTTGTTCAGTGTATAGAAAGTGTGTTGAATTGTGAATAGATCATCAGTCTCACTAAAACTGGTACAGTTGCCTGTTGTCCCATTTTCTCCCTTTGGCTTAAACTCAAAATTTAGCTTGGGAGCTGCTTAAATACTCTTGCACTTTGGTTTACCTTAAATTCGGAAAGTTTGTGGTATTTTCAATTAAAAACCATCCACAGATTCCATTTTATATTTCATTCCCCTCTAGTTGCCAAAATTACATGATATTGAAAGGAAAGAAGTAACACCACAAGAATATCAAACATGACCTTCTCGCTTCAGGCTGTCCAAAAAGATTCCAATCTGTGGATTCAGCTTGTGAAAAGCTTGCTTCCAGATTTGATGTTCACTTTTGTCCAGTTGGTCAATGAAAAGGTCACTCACTCGCTAAGGAGAATAAAAGCCACACATCAAAACACTCATCATAATCCAAATTTCATAGTTTTCCAAAAAATAGGAGGGAGTTCCTCAAAATGCTTGCAAATCACCAACAATCATCTCCTTTATTCTTACCAACTGATTCATGCACAAATCTGTGATGTGTGCATATTTGCTTGATCTGATCTGGTGATTGTATTTATTTTTGTGTGTGATTTCATTCTATGGAATTCATTTCATTCTTGATTTTTTGTTGTTGAAAATATCTGAATAAAAATAATTTCAAAACTAGGAACATACATTCAAGGTGACCCCTTGAATATGTGTTCTTTGCCTCAAAAGAGTGATTGCCTGTGTTTTTATTTCTTTCTTCTGTGATCCTTGATCAAATCAATTTCAGCTATTTACTGTTGATTCATAATGAAAATTTTCTCTCATCACACACACAAGAATACTGTATACAATTTACAATGAGTCGCTGACCACAAAATTATCTAATTTTGCTTTAAAACTTGTTATTGACTAAAAGTGACTCACGTAAAAAGTGCTTTCCTAGCAGGTGAATTGATTATGCAAAAAGGCATCCATTTTAAGAAGTACTCCTATTGAACTTTTGAAGCGTGAAGAATGTTATAAAAAATATATATGTTAATCCAGCTTAAAAATACGGATGATTTGCCGCAGCTTTTTGCGGAATTCCCTCTCCTAACTCAAGTGAAGTTTCACCTGCAGGTCTTTGTCACAAAGGTCCAGTCGAATATGTCTGTATGCCAATCTCAGCAAAATCTCTTCCATCATGTCCTTGTCGTCGACATTCTCAACCATAGTCTCAATGGCGCGAGTGAACATGAGTGAGTGACAGGCGAGGGCTTTGTTGGTCGGCAACTGCTCATTGGGGATGTCTTTTAATTTGTAAAACTTGTCCTTGTACTTGGGATGCTTGTCAAACAACCTGTAATGAATCTTTTCTTTAAAGCAAATCAAACAAGAATTATTCAGCGCGAGCATCAAGATTAGCAAATTTATTCATGGGGTGGGACTCTCACCAAAGAACCAGGGAAAATTTTGAAATGATTGCATTGTCTCTCAAATTATTGAACGAACCTACGGCATAACAAATCTCATACTTTTAACGTTTTGCAAGTACAGTAGTTTCAAGCCATTAGTAACTGCTGGAACTTTTGAACAGACCCTTATTGAAAAAAACTTCATTTTGAATATGCACATGACAAAATTTCCTCCAGTTACGCTCAATTCAAATGCGCTTTTGTCTCACAGAAATGAGTTGAAATTGCGAGAAAAGCATTAAAAAAATCAAAACGAAATTTAAAGTGTAAAAGAACAAAGACCCGTTGGAAAAAAAATTATTTTACGGGAGAACCAAGAAATGATGGACTGATTTAAATTCAAGTTTGTGTCTCAAATTATTCAACATTCAGCATGAAAAATGAGACACTTCAAACATTACACATGTAGTTTTAAGCCATGTGTAACTGGTGAAACTTATGAACTGACCCATTACACAACTTTATTCTATAAAAAAAAAACTACATGGTAAAATGTCCTCCAGCAATTATGTTCGACTCAAATGCGCATCTGTGTCACAGAAATTAGTTAAAACTACAAACGAGACATTTAAAAAATGCATGACACAATTAAAAAGGCAAACGAACAAAGAAAGTTCAAAAATAATTTTCCTCAGTATTTTTTTAGTAATTTAAAATGGGAAAGTTTATTTATATTGAGATCAGCATTTATTTTTTTAAGATTCAGGCAAAATTGTCATTGAAAGCCTTTTTCGAAGGACTTGAAATCTTTCATCGAGACACTCTGAAAAAAGTACTTTATTTCGTAGATTGAATGGCAGGAAATTCACTGGTCATATTATTTTCGCAACAATTTAATCGGCAGGAAATAAAACGGACTTGACAAAAGCTTGAACACCGGCTTTAGTCGCATTGGGCTTCACTTTGGGCCATGATGTTTTTAAAGCTGCTCGCTGTGTTTTGGTCAGGTTCATACCCATTGTTAAACGAAAATTGTTAACGGGTGGAAATTTTCAGAGGATTAAAAGAGATTAAATGCAGAACCTGGTGAAGGCTGGGGAATGATAATCCCTCCAGGGGAAATTATGAATCGTTCCGCAAAGTTATGGGCATTTCGAGAGTCCAATTTGAATTCAGGACATTAATATTTTTCCATACTGATAATTTTCAATAAGATTGAAAGATTTTATGGGACTTAACCGAATAATTCAACGAAAAAAAAGAGAACTGTGTCTCATAAAAACGGGAATGCTAGGATTGGTTCAAAAGTTTTTGAGAATTTCTTGAATACCGTAGATCCAACAAACTTTCAAAAATTCCCAAAAAATGGGATTTTCATTC